TTTTTTGAGTCAAAATTACTGTTGAAACGTTGACTGACGGTTTTATGGACGGAATTAAAGGTTTGGGACCGACGCTGCAACTACATATAAAGGTTTGGGACTTCGACCGCAAAAATAAAAGGTTTGGGTGTAATCTGCAACAAAATGAAAGGTTTGGGACCACGGCCACAATTTTCCCTAAAATAATTTTACACAACAATTCATAATTTTTCTCACTTTGAAAATCACACATTTTTCATAAATATTTATCATAGAATTACTTCTCAAAAAATAAAAATCAAATAAGAGCTTCATCAATCGAGTTTTATACTTAAAAAGAATTTATAATGTAGAATATGTGTATGGATATGTACAAATTGGATAGAGCCGAACACAAATCGATGAAGCAAGTCGAGCTACAAATTGGTGAAGTGAATCGGATCGCACTTAGTTCATCCCAAAGGCAAGCACCAATCATAAATCGATGAAGTAAGCCAATCCAAAAATCGGCGAAGTGAACCGAATCGTGCTCAGCTCGGTGAGTGCCAACCACAAATCGATAAAACAAGTCGAGCCACATGTTGGTGAAGCAAATCGAATTGTATTCAGCTTGTCCCACAGGCAAGTACGAATCACAAATCGATAAAGCAAGCCGAACTACAAATCTTTTGGGTAGCGGTGAATTCGTCCCACAAGCGAGCACCCACTAACTCGACCGGTGGGCCACATCCCTAAGTGAAAGTCACCGACTCCGTTATACATTTATGAGTTACGAGTTAACACCGTGTAACGTTCCCACGCGGTAACACTAGCGATTCTCCTATCCTGGTTTACTATAAATAGCCAAAAGCTCCATATTTGGAAAAATCTATGTCCTATTATATTTTTCGAAGAGACTCACTAAAGAATCCACCAGATTTTTACTACTCGGGGACAAATTACTTGGAAATTCTTAGTTAATTGAATCAGATATACAAAGGTATTATTATAATTCTTTCATTTTCATTTAATTTTCCCTTCAAATTCTAGTATTTTGTATGGTATTTTGATTTGGCTCTGAATTCTATTCGCCATGTTTTCTTCGGGATTTAGATACTATGATTTGATCTTGCCAGAATCTGTAGTTATTTTATAATATGATGTTATATTAAAAAAAAATATTCATTTTTAAGAAATTAGACGATATGTTCATGCTGAAAATTGCTGGGATTTATTGATTTATGATATTTTATTAATTCTCTGTTTGGTTTGAAATTTTCGGATATTGTTATCTGTTTAGGGAAGTATGAAAATAGTGTTGTGTTGATTTGTTGATGCAAGAACAAATCCTGACAGAGAAATTATGTGGGAATTTGGTTAAAAAGTTCAAAATCTATTGAAATTAAGGTCTCAAAAAACTGTGGATTTGATCTTATTGTATGGTTACTTTATTGGGTTAATTGGATTATTGAAATAATGATTGTAGCACATAAAACTATGTGACATGTTCTTGAAATTGTGATTATCCTAAATACTTTTTTGACAAATTTTTGCACTTGTTTCCTCCAAAGGAATCGACGTCGTCCTGTTGATAGATGTCGAAAAATCACATGAAAGGTTTATGAGGTGATGATATTGTAGGTGTCAAGGAAAAGAGTGTAATATTTGTTTGGGAAATGCTACATGTACAACACATGAGTTGCAACATTGGGTTACAACCTCTTACAAGGGAGGTGGGCCCCACTATTATTTAATCGTGGGGCCCACCTCCCTTGTGAGAGGTTGTAACCCAATGGTATTATACATACGTTGTACATGTAGCATTTCCCATCTTAGAATCCTCAAGCACATCTAACATGTCCTCCAACCTTGGAATTTGTGAGAGATTGTAACCCAATGTTGTAATTCAATATTGTACAAGGATCATTAATCTATTTGTTTTTTGAGTACTGTGATTTAAGTTGTCTATTGCATTATGTAGTGTTTTCCGCTGTTTTGTAAATTTTGAGTTACAATTCTTGGTAATTCCAAATCCATATGGCATATTCCATAATAATATCAAAATTGTCTTTTTGTATTGCGGTTATATATAAAAGTTAACTTTCTGTTGCTTGAATTTCTCGACATGGATTTATTATTCACAATTTGTTCATGTAGAGCTGCACCAATAATTCGCCTAATGTTTCTACTGCTTTTATGGATGCTTCTTCAATCATTTCTAAGATATGTTAGTATCATGAACTGCTTACATTTAAACAATTTTCTCTGAACTGAGAATCAGCCAATTGCTGGATCAATTTTCATTTTGAGTTTATTTAATTTTTTACTTTTTAAATTATGGGAAAGGTTCGTCAAATAATTATATGTACACCCCACACCTAATGTAGGATATTTTCAAAATCTAAAAGAACCAGTTTGGTTTGGTTTTGCTCTTTTATTGAGAACATTTTGGCTTCTAAATTTGTCCAGTTCAGTTCGGTTCTTGCTAAACCTGTATGAACTGGACTATGCCAACCCACTCCTACATTGTGATCAACTTTGTATTATATGTAATCAGGTTTAAAGTTTCATAGTTTGTTCCACCTCTCTGTGTTTCCAACAGGTAGCTCGGAATTAAGCAAGAGAGGCAGAATCGTCGATTGGTGGACAGAAAGTTAATGGAAGACAAATCTGATAAAATCCTTACGAAAGAAGAGGAGGGAGAGGAAAAGCTTCATTTCAAAGTTGTGACTGATATTCAGAAGCCTGACGAAGCAGAAGAAAAGACTAAGGTGGAACTAGAACTAAAAACCAAGTCAGTAGAAATGGAAAAGCCAAGCCTCAAGAAAGACAGAGAAAAACGAGAGGACGATGAAACGAAATCAAAGAGTAAAGAGATAGATGGAGATTCTAACAATGAAGATCGTAAAATAAAGGAAGAAAAGGAGGGAAAGAAGAAGAAACAGGAGAAATGTGAGGATTGTAGCGATGAGAAATCTGAAGAACGTAAGAAAGAGAAGAAAAATGGCAAAGATAAGGAAAAAGAAAAGAAGAAGAAACAGAAAAATAAGGACAAATGCAAGGAAGATGAAAAGGACAAAATTGTTGAAGAGAAGGAGAGTGGTGAAGAAAGCAAAGATGTGCATGAAGATAAAGAAGAAAAGAAAAAGGAGAATGACAAGGAGGAGAAAGATGTAGTGAAAAAGAAGGACAAGAAAGAGAATGAGAAAAAGAAGAAGGGTGAGAAGAAATCCAAAGACTCTGATGAGTTTGAAGGAGATTTCAATGAGAAGAGCGAGGGAAAAGAAAGTAAAGGGAAGGAAAAGAAGAAAGATAAGGAGAAGAAACACAAAAAGGACAAATTGAAGGGAGGGGATTTTGAGGAAAAATTTAATGAGGAATCCGAGGGAGAGAAGGATAGAGGAAAGGCAGTTGAAAAAGAACAGGAAAAGAAGAAAGGCAAGAAGGATAAAGAAAAGACAGCTTCAGATGAGGGCAAGTCACATGGAGAATCGATCAAGGAAACTGGAGACGAAGAAGAGGGGAAGAAGAATCACAAGGACAAGAAAGAGAAGAAAATCAATGAGAAGAGTTCCAAAGTCAAAGAGGGTGATGGAAAGAAGGGTGAAGAGGGGGAGAGAGAGAAGAAACACAAGAACAATGATGAGAAAGATGAAGATGCAGTTAAAGCCAAAGTCACATCTAGAGAGATTAAAATAGATGGAACTGGGGAAACCTCAGATGTTGAAGCCGAGGATAAAAACAAAGAGAAGGGTGAGAAAGACAAGAAGAAAATGAGGGATGAGAAGAAACGTAAACTAGAAGAGAAGTGCAATGCTAAAGATCTCGACAAGTTGAAGAAGAAGTTAGAGAAGATCAATGCTAAAATTGAAGCTCTTCTGGACAAAAAAGTTGATATCTTGAGGCTGATAAAGGAAGCTGAGGATAAGAACCACGTTCATACTAAGATTACCAAAGATTCAGAGGATAATGATCTAGACGGGGTAGCGGCTGCAGCAGAGGGAGCTTAGTACTTATGATGTCTATAAATCACTTAAAAATTTTCTGTCTGTTTTATTATACGTCTATGTCTAATGCTATAATAAGAAACTTTCTCTTGCATTTTTATTCATATTAACTTTCTTGTATCGCCCTTGCTCTTTTAAAAATTAAAATGTTAATATTGGCATGCTTTTTTTTATTTTTTTGGGAAAATATGCATTTTCAACATATTGAATGAGAAGAAAAGGAAAAATCATGGTACTGTGAGCATACGAAGAAATGGGGAAAGTTTTCTGTAAGGTTCATTAGAACATGAGACATGGAAAGGGTGTAGGGAAATTAATCATGTTTGGTGTATAATGTTGAATAACAACCTTGTTGACAACATGTCACGTGGCATGTTGTCATTGAACAGTTTGAACAATAAGTTGCTTTTTCAACCAACAAATTTTCGCCAATTCATACATTGTCAATAAAGTTGTCATCCATCATTGTACAAATAGCTTAATCCGAGGGAAATAGAACTCAAAGAGTTCACTTGTTGAATTAAATTCATCTCGTTATAATTTTTGGGACAATATATCAAATAGTCACTTTACAATAGTCAAAGTAGGGAAATGATCATTTAAAAAGAAAAACATAAAAAGGATCACCTTTTTTATTTTTTTAATAAAGCACGGTCACATTTTCGATTTGTTTTTTAGGCACCGTGACGGTATAAAAGTCGGTTCGAATTACCCCACTATGATATAAATAAAATAAATGAATACGATGGAGGGCGAAATATACCTAACCTCCAACCAAATGAATAAAAACTGAAAACAGTAAAAGAGGAATTACTATTTATCATATAGATTTGAAAATATAAATAAAAAAGTCTAAAGGTTCCTAGACATAGAAAGCTCATATCCATCAATTTGTACTAGGAGCAAAGTCTCTGGGAAGCTAGTAAGTTAGCTACATAATTTCACTCACATGTGAGAAATAGTATCACAGTCGAAGGAGTAACCAATCTAGGGTAACCTAGATAGACTATGGACCTTCTTCAAGTAAAGATGTAATAAATTGCAGTAGAAGAATCCGTCATAAACCTAATAGACCAAGTTGATGTGCAATAAGAATCTCATCAAGAGTGGATTGTATCTCAATCTCGAGTTTAAGACACACCATAGGATGAGAAGAATGCACAAATGCATCGTCCAGAGTGATCTTACCCCACCACTAACAAAACCATCCCTAACGTACCTATCGGTGTCGTAAAAATAAAAAGGATCACCTTTTAACAATTTCTTGTTTACAATGCCCTTTTGATAAGTTGAATATTCAATTTAACCTTATGAAAATAACTAACATGTTTTTGCCATTTTTGTTTGTAAATTTAACTTACTCGACTCCGAGGTTGAACTGGTTTAAGGATCAACTCGAATTAGTAGCCAATAGTTGAGTTGCTCAACTAGCTTGATGCAATAGTTGAGTTGCTCTCTCTTTTTTTTTTTTTCTCCCTTTGAGTGAAGAATAAATGAGAAAGAACAACTTAAAACCAAGAAAGCTTTTTGAATTACTAAATTTTATCCCAAAAAAAATAAATAAATGTGAAGAAAGACCAGTTATCTTTTCCTCTCCCCAAACATGACTTCTTCAAGAAATACTCAAATATTTATTAATAATACAATCCAATCCAATCTCGAATTGGTTCATCAATCGAATAAGTTGTCCAAGAATTCAAAAAATCTTTCACAGCATAATAAAATATATTTTTATTTCAAAATTTTGTGTAATTAGTCCCTAACCTTTAGGACCTATGGAAAATTTTCAACCTTTAAAATCAAACTTTTCAACCACCGTCATGTTTACATATTTCGTCATTTTTACGTAATTTCCATTAACATAAGCATTAAATTTTCCTCACTTGAGATGCCAGAGTAAATTTTTGGACTAGTAAAGTTGACAACATATACTTGACATATAACTTAATATTTGAGATATAATTTTTTTTTTCTTTTTCAATTCCAATAACCCTTCGAGTATTGTCGATCACCGACTATTGCAGTATTGTCCACCATTGTTGGTCCCCCAAACCAAAATCCTTACTCCGTCCCTGCACATCATTGACTAGTCTAATCATGACTTGTCTAATCATCTATGATTAAAATACAATGTCCCTTCATCACTCCTCTTATTGAGAATAAGAAAAGAATTTGACCTCGACTTTTTTTGCTCCTTTAACAAGATTTCATCAATTTCTTGTTGGGTGTGTGACCAAAGTCCTGCATTGGCTAGAAGTGGGGAGTATCATGAGTTTATAAATACGGACAATATCTCCATTGGTACGAGGCGATAAAGCCCAAAAGCAAATTCATGAGGGATTAGACCCAACGTGGACAATATCATACAAATGTGGAGATATGTGGTGCCCATAGTCCAATATTTGGTATCAGAGCCAAGCCCCAAACTTAGCCATGTGGATGAATTCCTCGAAATGCCTAACGAAGGTGGTGAGCCTCGGTCTGCTCGTGATGAGATCCGTAGATGAGCTTTATTGGACAGGCGGTGTTCTCCGGATACTTCATGGACATGTCTTGACCCCAACACGGTGAAGAGGAGTTGACCTGGATAGAGCAAGCTCTCGAGTTGACGGATTGATGATCGTTTGAGGGGAGGCTCGGTGGTCCTTTGTTCATGGGGAGGATTGTTGGGCGTGCGACTAAAGTTCCATATTGGCTAGAAGTGGGGATGATCATAGGTTTATAAGTATGGATAATATCTCCATTGGTATGAGGCCTTTTGGGATAAAGCTAAAAAGGAAATCCATGAGAGTTTAGGCCCAAAGTGAACAATATTATACTAATATAGAGATATGTGGTGTCCATAGTCCAACACTTCTTGTTGAGGTTCCTTATGCTCCTTTGAACTCATCCTATATGCAGACTTGATTGGAAGAGATGCTATGGGTGTAAAATAGTCGCAATGTTGAGTATGTGTACTGCATCATAAAAGTCTTGTATAAGATGATCGGCATGATTCGGGGCAGTTCTAAAGGTACGAATAGCTATAACTCTGATTTTTCTAGAAGCATATTTCGTAATGCTTCTTTGATCACAACAAAGTCACCAATATGAACATATTGGTGATTGCTAGCTCCTTTAATTCAAATGGACATCAATTCTCAAGTTGTTAATTACTCAAATGTATCAACAAAATCCGATAATGATTCTAACCATAATCAATTTGTTGGCCAACAACAAGAATTTGTATCCTCAAGGATTAACATGTTGAAATAGTTCAAATTACTCCAAACTTGGTTGGATTTGGTGCAATTGTCTTCTAGATTCTTCAATCTCAACATCATGAAGATCTCTTTCATAAGTAAAACATTCTTCAATATCTTGTGCACAATAACCATATCCACGATGACCAAAAGTCTCGTACCAATTACATACCATGATAGATAAAAGATTGAAGGAAATAGGAATACAAGTTCCATACATGACTAAAAACACACAACTCTATGAAATTCACCAATGAAATACCGAGCTTTCTAAGCAAATAACATTGTCAAGACATCGAAACATCTTCAGAACTCTCCTGGAGCACGTAAAGATGGAAACTTCCTGTATTTCCAAGTGGAATGAAGAGCTTAATGGAAAAAGATACCAACTTTATATCGGAAAGTCGGAATTGAGATCCATAAATTTTGTAAGTACTAATAAACAAACTTCCCAACGGCATATTATTTCCCTGGTAATTAAGCCCTTGTTTGAACCCCATTTTTAGAGAAAAAAATACATTTTTGAATAGTCATTTTTGAAAATTGTGTGATAAAAAATTAAGAAAAAATTCGATTTACGTGTAATATTATTTTATTGGAGAACATGTAGTTGAAAATGAGTTTAAAAAAAAAGGGCTCAAACATCCCCTAAATGTGTTGGTCATTTTCATCCACACCAGTAATAGAAATTTACCAAAACATGAAAGAAATTAAGGGGGCGTTCTCTTTGTATTTCAGTTTTGTATTTTGAGTTTTGAATTCGTTTTGTGTTTTGTGTTTTGAGTGTCTGTTTTGAAATTTCTGAAAATGCGTTCTTTTTGCCATTCTGAAAAACTGTTTCTGAAAACATGAAAATGGAAAACGCGTTTACTTTGAAATTTTGAGAATTTTTTTAAATAATAATTTATTCAAAATATCTGATTATTCAATAAATTTTAATGGTTTAATGTTAATATAGTATTAAATAACATATAAATTTTGAAATTGGTGAAACTTCAAATTTTTTTTTCTTTTTCAGATATTAAAAATATAACCTAAATTACATTTGACAAAACAGTTCAATCGATACGATTGGAAGTTTACATGTCATGACAAAATAAAGTTTTGACAATTGGCGATTTTGGGTTGGCGAAGAGGGCGCAGGAGATTATGAAGAACCGAGATTTTGGGTTGGCGAAGAGGGCGCATTTAACGATTTAAGTTTACCATTTGAAAGAGTAGTAAGAAAATGAGAACAAGCGAAGAATAGGATGAGACTTACGTCTACTCATTTCACCTTGAAGAAGAAGAGAACCACAGTGGTGATCTCAAGTCTCTCAATCTATATCTATACCTAATAATCTATCCATTACATATATGTCGTTCATGAGAATATTAGGATAAATTTATAGTAGGTCAATTCACGGTCGAAAAAAGAGAAATATTTCTGCACTAGCTATGCAATGCAACTTATGAGTGAAACAATTAAAAGGGAAAATAGAGACAGTATCATTAATTGAAGAACAGCTACATCTGGCTGAAAACTAAAATTGTTCTTATTCTATTAATCTATTCCTGGTACTTAAGTAAACAATAGCCTGTACATAATCAATTGAACATAAACAGAGAAAAAATGAACTCCATTTTTTCACCATCAAAATTGTATCATCAGATACATAGCTAGCCTCCTGCAGGAATCATATCATATCCTGGTTTGTTTTTGACGAAATCTGTATCGATGACTTGATTGATTGATCGAACACAGCATCAGAAATGGAGCTC